AGACTTCCGGTGCTACGAGAAGGGTCAAAGAGCTACCGGTCGTGGTGTCAGAGCACGCCTTTCTGGTCGCTAAGAGCTGGCTGGTGACCGGCTTTGATCTCCTGAAGGCCCACGCTAACTACGCCCGGGACTACCTCATGCCGCGGCTGGGCCGGGCGGGGCAGCTGGAGAAGAAGATGGCTACCTATGCGGACGCTATGGTGGCAACTGCGGGGCTGCTGGCTATCATGGGCTACCCCCGGGAGGTCCAGGGCTATTGGACGGAGCACAGTGAGCGCTCGGTGCTACCAACAGGTTTGGCGCTACAGGAGTTCCCCCCGCAAGACAAGGATCTGCTAGGGCGATGGAAACCCGAGGGGTCCGACGTGTACGCTAGGTCCTTTGCGGGTAGGGTGTCCCGTCTCCAAGCTCTCTTCGCTAAGACAGCTAGGGGGGACGACCGCTACGACGAGCGTGAAATCGCCGCGGATCTCGAGTCCTGGCTGGAGGAAAGGGCCAAGCTAACCCACAGCCAGGCTATCCATATGGCGGCGAGGCTGCGGAAGATCTGGATGGAGGGCCTGCTATAGGAGTCCCGACCGAGGCGGAGGAGCTAGAGGTTCCCGAGGGACCGGACGAGCCCGCGGAACCGCTAGTGGCCGGGAGTAGCTCAGAGGCTTCTGCAGAGGTCGCGGAACGGCCCGCTAAGAAGCAAGCCAGGGTTCCCGACCGCAGCCAGGGCAGCGTAGAGGTCCCAGGTGCCATTTTCCGCCTGCACAAGGCGGGCGCTACAGGTTGTTGGATGGGGAAGCGACGTGCTTTCCGCAACGCTAGGATTCTTGACTCGGTTCCGGGGCCGCACGAGTACACACATGTGTGCAAGCTATGCTGGCCGAACCAAGGGGCTATCTCCGAAGGAGACGCTAGCGAAGGATCGCTCGCTAACTCGGAAGATGACGAGGCCCCAGAGGATCTCGCACCGGGGTCCGCTAGCAGTCATCCTTGAGCGCAGGGCGTGCTAAGCCGCCGAACTCGCACTCGCGCCAAGGCTAGAAAAGGCTGCTACCTCTCTCTCTCTCTCTCTCTCTCTCTCTCTCTCTCTCTCTCTCTCTCTCTCTCTCTCTCTCTCTCTCTCTCTCTCTCTCTCTCTCTCTCTCTCTCTCTCTCTCTCTCTCTCTCTCTCTCTCTCTCTCTTCCTCCCTTGCGAAACGCCGCTAGATTTTAAAGGGGGTGTGCTGGGGGAGGGGGGGGACCTTCGGGCGTGGGGGGGCGGGGGGGAGGGGAGGGCGGGAGAAAGAAGAGAGTGGAGGGAAACACGTTCTCGCTACATGTCACTTGCTGTGTGCCTGTGTTGTGCTTTCGTGTTCCGCTAGCGTCTTGCAGGAGGAGCAAGGAGCGAAGGCAGGCGCTAGGAAACCGGGGCCGGGAGACCCCTCTTCTGGCCACCCAGGGAACGCAGGAGCTAGGAGAGGAGCCAGTGCTTGCGCTAGGTCCGGCCTGCAGGAAGGAGCTAAGGAGCGGAGGAAGGCGCTACGAAACGTGCGGGTTTTTAAACCCCGCTAGGCTAGGCGCAGGAGCCAGTGACTGTGCTAAACCTCCTCCCACGGGTAGCCCTGCTTCGATAGCTTGGGGTAGCTAGATTTTCTTTAGCCCGCTCCGTGCCTTGGGCGCCGCTATGGGAGGTAAAGGCAAGGATGCCAGAGCTACGTCGCCCAAGCGCGCAGGGCCAGCGGATGGCCCCGGCCGAGGAGCCCGCTACTGGCGACTACCTGCCGGAGACCCTCCGCGGTCTGCGGAGGGCGCGCTACGGTTCCGACCTTCGGAGTGCACCGAGGGGTTGCACCGCTATCTCGACAAGCCTCTGCTACAGGAGCTGATCGCTATGTCGCAAGAGGCGATCGAAAAGCTAGACAAGGAGGCCCCCGGGGTCCGCCAACAGAGCCCCGCTAACATGATGGAACGGCGAGTTCTGTCAGCTACTAGCTGGGCCGACCTGTCCCACGACGACGTCGCTAGCTTGGACCTGGGGGTCTGTTTGTGCCTACTTTGTGTGGCCTGTGGTCTTTCAGGCAAATGAGCGTGAAAAGTCCATATGGCCATGAAAGGGTTTCAAGGGGGGGTTTGTGAAATTCACGCCGGGCCCGTGAAATTCACGGTGGTGTTTCACAGACATAGCTTGTATCATAGTATCAAACAGAGAGTATATTGAACTAAATGGACAACATACCCGAATCTAAAGAATTGGCTCAGAAATATCTGGCTCAAACAAAATCGGCAAGCTCGTGGCTCAAATTCGGCTCAATTTGTCACGTGAGCGAAAAAGGGTTAAAAAAAGAAACTTACCTTAAAATGCCCTAATCACGCTTAACCCTAATGACCGTAAGCCGGGAGCACTGCCCAACCATACACCCAGGCTTCGAAGCCCCCTTAACTCACCCCCGAAGCTTCTACCCAGGTGGCCGCTTGGATCTTAATTAGTGAGTATAATACGTACGGTATGCGTGTGCGCAGACACCCATATCGATACACACGTCATGTGGCGGAGGAGGAAAGGTAAGTCTTCCTTTAAATTATGGGTCGGTGCCATGCATATATGTTAAGTAGATATCTAGATAAACGTACATAGCGGGATAAAACAGTCGACTCAAAGAATACAACGCATGTCGAGAAATAGGTGGCCTAGAGAAGCTGATGGAACACTGGAGTATATATATATATATATATATATATACACCAAGGGTGTGGTATAGATACTTACAGCGATACCTATATGGAGATGTAATAGGCTAACATAGGCTAAAGTGTAATGAGTCTATGTATGTATACACATTAAATACAGGTAAATGGAAGCACATGGATATAGACATAGATAATGCTATAGGTGCACGTATAGACTTCTTTAAATGTAGGAAGCATACGTGTATGCGTGTGCATTCGTGAATAAGCCGCCAGTCTGTGCATATGTGCATCTGCATTTGCATATGTGAATATATGCATATATATATATATATATATATGTATGCATACATATATATGTATGCATCATACACATATATATATATATATACATAAACACATATTTGCTGCTTTAGGCTTACACACATCCAGGCAGCAGGATGTCGGAGTAAGCCTAGGCATATCAGGAGCTCTTATGACGACGACGATGATAGTATACAGATCTGAATACGATGACGTGAAGCTAGATTAACTGCATATGCACTTAACTGTGGCCATGTATAAGAGCACGCATACATGTGTCTGCCTCCGGATGTCGTGCCGATGCCTCTGCCTGCTTGCAGCTTTTTTGTACCCTTAACTTGACATTGGGCATTGCCAACTGAGACCTTCACTAGCTTCCGAACATGGGTATATATATATATACACACGTATAAACACGTGTACACGCATGCACATGTCTGTGTATTACGAAAGCAAAGATCAGGGCTTCAAGTGTTAATCTGTATGCATGTGTGTATCAATGTACACATGACAGACATAGACAGGCTATGTAGACACGTGCCTGCAGGTCTATATGTACACGTATAGGTGAGCTAAGTATACATGGAAAGACACATGAATAAGTAAACGTATATATATATATATATATATAATATACACATACACGTTTATGTAGACACCAGTAGTGGTAGTCATCGATGTCGCCGCCGATGTCGGCCTCGAGATCCTGATCCAGGTGCTACAGGGACCGGGCGGGACTTCAAGCCCGGGTGCTTCTGGCTGAAGGGCATGCCTTGAGCAGTTTTCAGGCTACTTAGGGTCGGGCGCGACAGTACCTAGCAGCTCATGGTCTGGTTGGTTTTTGGGTTTGGTCCTGCAATAATATAGGTTCATCTACTAAGTTTGTACACTTAAACCTCCACCCCGGGATCAAACTATATATGGGCTGTTTTAAACAAACGAAGATAACAGTTCAGAGAAGTATGCATATGAAGTGTATGTCTATATATTTATATGTATATATACACACTTCTCTACGTACTAATTTGGTAAAACGGAAACGAACTCAAACACAGTTAGTGGGAGAACGCACAAACACACCAGAACCAGACGTTGAGGACCCAATAACCTTGGCCTAGGCAAAAGCGATTTATGCCATAGGCTTGGGGACTTACTTAGTCGCAGTGGCTCCAGGTACGATGTTAGGGTATAATACAGACATCCTTGGCACAGGTGCTGTGGTTGCTGGATGACTGTGATATGGATGTCACATGGTACACCTGGCTCACATTACCGTGGTGTGCAATGCAATAAGATGCATTATCGTAATGCCAAGATGCATCACCGTTATGCCAGGCCCTTCGAGGACTTCGACGCGACACGTCACTCATCGGTGGAGGTCCGCCCTACCAGCCCTGCTTCTGCTTAAAGCTAAAGGGCTTATTAGGGGAGTTAGCCAGCGAACCTAGGAACTCACTAACTAAGCGCTTGTTGACGAAATTGCTGATGTATAGAAATATACAACCTATAACTACCTACCTACTTAACTATACTATACCTACCTAACTAAGTAACCACTAACTTTTTCACGGAATAGATAATTGACTATACCTATAGTCTCCATTGTAGTTCCTTTTTTTGGTTATCCAATTTTATGGTTAGGGCCCTATAATAGAGATTTTGGTTAACCAAAAAAAGGAACTACAATGGAGACTATAGGTAACGACAGAAGCAAACATTCTAAATGCTGGGTTTAGATCGAGAGGTGGCGAGGATTTCCGAATATGGAGAAAGCCACGTATTCATGTGCTTCGCTATATACTGGGTCGGAAAATGTTTCCTTTACGCTTAGCGGGGGGTTATTTGGCACTGCAGCTCCGTGTGCGTGCTTTGCACTTCGGCTGTGATTGCTGGTTGCATCTGAACATGCAGGCATATCGTCAGCTGCAGAAGTGCAGTCTCAACTACATCGTGTGTGAATACACAGTCTTCAGAGCTTAAGCATGTTGCAATACGAACGATTGTGTTTCAGATGCTAAATCTCTGCTTAACCCAAGCTTAAGACCTTCGCAAACATGCCGACTGTCATCGATCCGGACCTCGTCCAAGAGCTCGCCAAATGCTTCGCTGGGCAGCCGGCCTTGAAGGAAGCGGCTCGGACAATGGGATTTGAGTGGTCTTGAAATTCGCTTCATTATCGGGCCCCGGATGTGATAGCTCAGGCAGGCTTCAGCTTTGTTGTCGACCACTCGGGGAAGCTGTTCAAGGGCAAGCGATGCACGCTGAAGGATTTGACTCATAATCCTGATGCCCCTTGGCTAAGATCCTACGCATAGATCTTAGGTAGTCCCATGAAACACAGTATCTAAGGTCATCGTTGCTACCATGCAAGCCGTGCAGAAATCCAGACAGAGTTCCTTCACCGTCAAAGAAGGCATCCTTCAGTTTTATGATGCCAACAATTTGTGGCCTCGTGGCTTGAATTCCCGAATGGAGTGTATTCAAGATTGGGCTCTGATGATGGGTGATGCCATCAAGCGCTTGGCTGCTCAACTGAAACGGTCTGAAGTTGTCACGTACAGATACTTAGCTTACTCGGATGCTTCACGATATAATATGTCTTAGGTCGGCAGGATGCGTCGACTGATGAAGCGGTCTAGCAGCAGCAAGCTCAAGAAGCTGACTGGGTTGCGGAAACGGATATCCGCTCTGAATATCCCTGGGTTGGATGCTCGGTCCAGTATACCATTGCACATCTTGGTCTGCCCGTTTAAGTCTATGGTCAATGATGAAAGGTTTGGCCTAACTGTGGGGTTCACGTTGATTGTTGAGGGCCCCTGGCTTCGGGTATGCATTTAATATGTCGAAAGGCTCCTGCAGGTCTGAAGTTTGGAAGCTTTACATCCATCTACAGATCAAACCCAATTGGTAGCAATTCCGAAAAGTTTTGCTAAACTTCGCAGTTGATTGGGAATGCAAATTAAAGACCCGCTTGATCTACACAAAAGTGCCCCTCCATACTACGCCTACGCCCAGGAAGGACCACCAGCTGAAGGACAAGAAGATTCAGATTCCGAAGCGAATGATGATGACAGCGGGGCCTCCACTCTTTCAGGGAGTAGCACATGGAGCGGGTTTTCCTCGGCATCCCTGTCGAGCAAGGATTCGGTGATGAGCCGGGTGTGCCAGCAGTTTTCGGATCTTCGGTTGTACAACAAGGAAGATGGGAATCCTACTTTCAAGTTCAGACCTTCAGCTTCCGACGCGAAGGTGGTTCCAAGCTACGCTTCTAGTTCGATCATCCTAGCAGCTTTGCTTTGTGACAGGTATGTGCAGCTAGATGGCAATTGCATTTGTTGCCCCGGTTCTGAGCCCAAGGTTATGGACAGTTTGGCCTCGACATCCCCACCTTCTCAGCCTTTCCCTCTCAGCGATCAGTATGCCCCTTCCTTCCGGTTCCGAGTGGGTGCTAAACCTGCTGACAGTGGTGAGGCTGAGAAAGCACCCGATCCACAGATGCCATTGGCTGCTCCAAGGTTTAAGTTCAAGGTGACTAAGAAGGTGAGTAAGAACGTCAAGAAGAAGCCCGGCAATAAGCGCCGAAAGAACACCGTCGAGAAGGAGCACATTTATGGGGACTACGTTCCGAATAACTTTCTTGAAAGGGCCAAGGCTTTCATCGCAGAGGCGAAAAATGACGGTGCCACTCCGGCAGAAGCCCGCACAATGTGGGTCGAAAGCCGGGAACGAGCCGTGCTGTTGGCCGACATGCCTTTGAGCGAACTCAAACGCCGGAGATTTGTGGGGGCAGGAGTCCAAACGAATCCGTTTAAAGTTGCGGCACTTGGCGGCTGAACGTTTTTTAGTTACGGTGTTTTCGAATCTTGCATGAAATTACCATGCATGCAGCATGCAGATCGATGCTGAATGCTGAGACTTACCAGCAATCGGCAGCTCCAAAACAGCAGGTGCTTTCAGCGAGCTACCTTTTTGGAATCAGGATTTGCATTGAAAGCTTCGGGCCGAGCAGCACTCGCAGTTTCAGTCGTTGAAGCTTTTGGGCTACATAGCGTGTGACTGCTTTGCAATATGGTGGTCGCTGAACTGTTGCGGGCCGACGCGCCCGGATGCCTTGTTGTGGTGGTCCTCTTGCTGCTGTTCAACACAAAGATCCCAAAGGTAAAGGACCCCGATGCGGAAACTCTCACAAGCTATCATTCGACATACCATATGCACCTAAACGAAACTTAACGGGCAATCATATGTGGATAATCGTACCTCGTGACGAGGAACGAGTTACGACTATGTGTGCTAGCTTACCTATTACTACTCGAAGCTATCGAAGGTAGCTTCACTAGAAACGAAGTTTCGTTCGCTATCGTCGCTCGCAGGAGAGTTGCCTCTGACATGCGAAGACAGGATAGCTGTGACTTGGAATGGCTACGACGGTGTGTGACCGTGGCCATTCTGGATAAAGTCCCCCATCAGGGGGGGTAATTTTGAAGTAGTGGGGGATAGAAGGGGAACTTGGCTATTCAGCCAAGCGAGAATGGCCTCCCCGCGCTCCCCTTCTGCTTCGCAGACGGCTAGCCCACAGTCTCCAGCTACTACGGTGATTCCGGCTAGTCCTGGAGGCGAGGAGCCAGGGAGTCCAACCGTCTTGCCCACGGCTGTGCCGGAAGAGCAGGGCGTTGGACCGGCTACCCCCTCTGGAGGGATAGGGAGCCCCATCGGACTTCCGTCCTTGCGGGATAGCGCTCTTGTGCAGAAGCGTGCGGTGCTGGATAGATGCCATGAGCATCTGGCGTCGCGGGGCTTCGGTGTGCTCGAGCTGGCTACCCTCGGTCTAGAGGACGCGGAGGATATTGGGCACCAAGTGGCCGAGGAGCTGGGCGTTGGCTACGACGAGTACATCGGCGACTCGATCTACCTGTGGATACAAGAGGCCCGGGAAGCTCGGGACCTGGTGGAGAGAACGTCGGGATACAGGGCGACTTCGCTAGCGTGGGTTAACCTCAGCAAGCGGCCGGCGATCGAAGGCATCGACCTTCAGGAAGATAGCGAGCCGGAGCCCCCGAAAGGGGATAGGCAGAAGCGCTTGGTCAACGAGGGCTCCCTGGCGCAGGCTAGGGAAGAAAGGCTACAAGCAACCTGGGCTATTAAGCTCAAGGAAGAGCTAGAATTGTGCGAGGCGCCGGTGCTGAAGAAGCTACAGGGGTGCCTGGACCCGGATAGAGCGGTGTTGGCGCTAGCGGGGAAAACCCGGGCTAGCACTCTCAAGCGCTACGTCTCGATACACGTGAGATGGCGGCTATGGCTACGGGAGGCTAAGAGTGGACGCTCCCCTGGGCTACCGGCCGACCTGGCCGACTACATAATGGCTAGGGGCGACGAGCCCTGCGGGCGAACGGTCCCCGAGGCGATCCTCAAGGCCATCAGCTGGATAGAGAGGGTCGCGGAATGGGCGACCGAGTCGAGAGCTACCTCAGGCAGGATAGCGTGGGCAATCAAGGATACGGTCGTCGAGAGGCTATCCTGGAAGGCGCCCTGGACGCGGCGAGCCCCCCGATATCCTGCGGCTATCCTGGCTAGGTGGGAGCGCCTGGTCCTGGATACAACTGTGGCCGTCGGCTGGAGAGCTTGGGCCTGGGCTAAGCTCCTAAAGGTTTGGGGCAGCTTGCGATGGTCCCAAACGAACTGGCTATGGTGGAAGGTCGGCTATCCACCATCCTGCGACGGACGAAAACCACCGGGGCTAACAGGCGCATACGGGAGCTACCTGTATGCATCTCGGAGAGAGCCTACTTCGAGGACCCTGGCTGGCTACAGGCGGGCTTCCACCTGCTAAAGAACCACGCGGGCTACCAGCGGGACTATCTCATGCCCAGGCTAGGCGAGAGAGGCGCCCTGGAGAAGAAGATGGCTACCTACGCAGATGCGATGGTGGCAACAGCGGGGCTACTGGCTATGGTGGGGATCCCGGCGGTTGCCCGTGGCTACTGGTCGGAGCACAGTGAGAGAGCAGTGCTACCCACCGGGCTGAGCCTAAAGCCGATCCCGCCGGCAGATAGAGATATGCTAGGACGCTGGAAGCCCGAGGGCTCGGATACCTACATCCGCTCCTATGGCGGAAGGGTCGCCCGACTCCAGGCTATCTACGCAGAGGCGGCTAGAGCTCGGGACCGGGAAGAGCAGCTAGATGAGAGGGAGATTGCTGGCGACCTTGGAGGCTGGCTTTTCCGGACCGGCAAGGCTAGCGAGCAGGAAGCTGAGAAGCTGTCTGGAGAGCTGCGACGAGAGTGGGCTAGCGAGCGCATCGTGGAGATGGTGGCTGGTCCGGGGATACCTGAAGAAGTCGTGGCGAGCGATCCTCCCGAAGATAGACCCGACTCCTCGGCTAGTGAGCCGGAGCTGGGACCGGAACCCAACCGGAACCGGCCGAGGCAGCTCCTTAAGAAGGCTGGGTGCACGAGCTCTATCATAGTTGAGCTTCCAGGGAAGAAGTACAGGCTACACAAGGGGGGCCAGGCCGGGTGCTGGATGGGCCGCCGTAGGATATTTAAGAACTCCCAATTTTCGGCGAGGCCCGAACCCAACCAGTACACGCATGTCTGTAGGCTATGCTGGCCGAAAGGCCGAGGCGAAGAGTCCCCGTCTGGTGATAGCGACACCTCTCAGGCTAGCACCGGCGACCAGAAGCCGGAGCAGGGAGAGGAAGAAGATTTCGGAGAGGTCCCAGCAGCAGAGCTGCAGGGAGTACCTCCGGGGATAGTACCCCAGTTGCCGATAGCTCCGTTGCCGGCTATTCCGTTCGGCTGGGGACCGCCTTTTGCCTGAAGGGATAGAAACGCCGGGAAAGCAGCGGGGCTGGACAACGGGGGGATACGTCCGGGGGGGCCTCTCGGGATATACTCTTTCCTTCCCATCTCTCCGGGGGCGGCGGGCCCAGGGGGAGAAAGAAGGGGAGAGAAGAGAGGAGAGAGAGAGGAGAGAATCACGTTGTTGCACTTGCTGTCTTGTCTGCTGGCTAGGACGTAGGCTGCGAGGTTCTTAGGCAGGCTAGGCTGCATGCGCACATGTCCGGCTGAGTGTGCACTTGTGGGCTAGGGCACGGCACAAATGCACTTGCTGCGGCTACTGTGGCTAGGGTGGAGTAACGGACCACCAGCTTTTCTGGAGAGCCCACGCTAGGTGGGCGAGCCTGCGTGCCCTCGGGCCGGCTAGCGGCACATGGCTACTGCCCCCAGCTGGGCAGACCAGACTGAGTCGGCTAGCGTCCAGGCGCAACGGATAGAAGTGCTACGCCTCTTAGAGGACTGGCTAGAGACTGACCCGGCTAGCTTGGCCGAGCAGATATACGATCGGCTAAGTCTGGATAAGCAGCACGAGCTTCTCCAGCTAGTGCGAAAGGCTAGAGACATGAGGCTAGCCGAGTGCCAGGAGGGAGCTAGCATACAGCCTGGCGGCCGGCTATCTGCCAGGCTACTCAAGTTCCAAGGAGCTAAGTCTTGGGACGATATCTCTGCGGAGCTCGAGGCTAGCCTGTCCACCACCGAGGCTAGATACCTTGAGCAGAGGATAGAGAAGAATCGGCAGCTGGCCGGGCTACGACCACACCGACCAGGGGAGACCCTGGAGGAGGATAGCGTCACGGATAACGAGCTGGAGGCTACACCGTGGCAGGGGGAGGCCCCGGAGGCTACCTGGTCCAGCGCCGGGCCGCCACCTGAACGGCTAGACATGCTACACGAGATGATGGCTAAGCTCAAGGAGCTAGAGGGCGGAGGTCCGCGGCACGGCTACCCCTGTTGCTAGGCAAGAGGAGCCCCATCCTGGGGCAGAGGAGGCCAGCACAGGGGATAGCACAGCAGCGAGGCCCAAGAAGCCGGCTAGGGACCCGCCGACGGTCCAAGAGTCCAAGGCTAAGAACAAGCTGCGGCAGGGGAGTGCAGCGGATAAAGAAGAAACGGCTACCACCCTGCCGTTCTCGGCTGGGCTAGACCCGGCCCAGGTCGTCAATCCCGGTCCGGGGCTACAGCAGGCTAGGGCAGCCGCGGCAGAGACCACACCGCTAAGGGCGAGTACAGAGTACCCCGCCCAGGGCGAGAGCCTGAAGCAGTTTCTGGCTAGATGCATGCAGGGCTACCGTGGCCCGCCTTCGGACGTCCCGGCCTATGTGGCTAGGATGGAGGAGGTCTTCCGGATAGGCACCTTTCAGGACGGTCCGGATAGCAACCAGGATAGACAGCAGCAGCGGCGGCCAGGCAAGGGCGAGCCGGGATACGATCCCTTCCCGCCCTTGAGGCTAAAAGCACCACCAAAGGACGCGGTGGGGATAGCGACCGTGGCTACATCCACTCGGATAGCAGCCACCCGCTGGACAGAAGGCTAGGAGCGGGCCGATACAACGAGGCCCAGTGGGAGGCTATGGCCGGAGACGGCCGGATAGCTCCGGAGAGGCCCGCGCTCCAGCAGGGAGCGGCGGTGAACATCAACCTGGATAGGCCCACCGAACGGCTACTTCGCGAAGAACCCGATGTGGTGCACCGGATAATGGCGCCCCCGCCAGTGGCTAGTCAAGCCAAGGGGCGACCACTCGGCCCGGATAGCGGCATGATCGATCAGACCTGGCTATATGTTGCTAGGGCCCAGTGGCCCCTGGGGAGCTATGAGAAGGGCGGTCGCCAGGATAGAAGGCTATCGCAGTTGTCGGATAGAGGCCGCGATGTCAGCGGCAAGGGGGCGATACACGACCCCAACTGGATATACAAGCTAGAGGATGAGGACTTCATCGCGGTTAGCACCCGGTCCGGCTATGCAAAAGAGCTAACAGAAGCGATCCCGGAACAGGGATG